TGCTGCCCTTCCCTCACCCTCCCTTGGTCGCCTCTTACGACACCCACGGAAAAGGAAGGGAGGGCTTATTTTTTGCCGAGACCATACGCCTTTGTATTTATATACATATAGATATGTTAACTCAAACTTCAATGAATCTTTACCAAAAAGTTGGAAGTTTTAGATAACACTCTCTTACGACATTGTATTGAACTAAAAAGTCTGTCTTGTATTTTATTTATCGCTTTGCCTCGCCTAGACGAAAACAAAGTAAAAACAGGCGATAAAGTTTTATCGATAAAAATTGTAGCGATATAAGTATTCAGTAACAAGTAGCCGATAAAAGTTCATTGGAGAAATGTCTTATTCATTCGCTCTTAACAATCCTAACTCGGGTGAATCCAGAGTTGCTTACATCCATAATAATTTCCCATTGTTACCGCTACAATGGCAAAGTTTTTCTTTTGTCGGAGTAAAAAAAAACAGTCGGTCGAGTCACTAAGTGTGGTCCCGACCGACTTGGAATAACTGTAAGGAAATTAGATTGTTCTTACAAACATCGAAAAGTAACTAAAGTTGTTCCCAATTACGATATCTTTTTTGCTGATCTCTGCTGTTATTCCATTTACATATCAACTTTGTTGTTCTAAAAAATTATGGAGAAAACAAACTTGAAATTAATACTTTTATTGCCGATGCAGAGAGAGACTTTGTGCAAAAGTCATTTGTTTGGAAACCTCTGTCCCATTCGTGTTTCAACCGTGAAGCAGTTGTGTTTGCATGGTTGTATTTCAGTTTGAAGAGTGGGATATAGCAGTGAATGAAAACAGGGTACAGAAACATAACATCTTAGTCTTCAGGAATGGCAACGCATACAGAGTATCATGGAGGAAAGAATATATGTTATGTCCACTATTCATGTCTATAGGCGATGGTTACCACTTTCTATCAGGTGGACTGTCATCTTATTTGCCGTTCTAAGTTGCATAAAAAAATACAAATACACACAAATTTTAATGAGTATTTCCTTGAATAAACATGATCGGAGATTCGAGACTCGTTTTACAATAAAAATATTGGAATGACCAGTCAATATTAATCTTATTACAATTAAAATCACTTTTTTTTCTGAAGTAAAATCTTTCCGTCTTAACACAAAAAAATTAACTTCCGATAAACAGGTGTTTAATACATATTTAAACGATGTACTTCAAAAGCGTGTCTAGCACCTGTTTATACCTAAAAAAAGTATTTGGTATTAGAAATAAAAAGTAACACCTTTAAGCAATTAATTTTATTAAAATAATGTACAAATTTTGGCTCATGAAAAAAATATTATCATACTAACTAAACTAAACAATATTTAATAACTTAGACTGAGTTTTGTTAAACAGTGTTTTAATAAAAAAATACAATAACAAAAGGTTTTAATAAGACCGTATTTGTCTGTTTTGGTATATGTTAATATTTTGTTTTCATTGTCGCCTGTCCCAACACTATGGTGATGATTTAGGATGATGAGACATTGTATTCTTACGTAACAACAAGGGGTACGTACTAGTAGTAACGCACTAGTGTTATTTTAGGAAGCTATTACATTTTCATAGCTATTATAACCTGATCATAATGACGTGCGTAGAACAATATCACAACGAGAACGATAATGTTCCGATCGTGACTAGAAAGTTAAGTGCCTAATACAGCGATACTGTGAAGTGAGCTGTAATACCAGGAACGAGCTAATAAATCAATGGATAAAGTAGCTTTTAAGAGAGCACAAGGCTTGATTAATATTCTAGCTTCTGTGATTTCAAACGTCGTAAGTTTAAATCATGACTTTTGTAATTTAAATTACCGACCAACTATCCAGTGATGATAAATACGCATTCTGTTGTTGATGATACTGAAAACAAATCATCATCGCTTTAATTAAAAGTATTTTTAAATACTTATATATATAACATTGCTGGTGGCACAACAATGGTTATTCTATCTGTTCTTCTTTGTGTTACTGTATTTCACCTGAATTATTCAATTGCCATTGTATATTTTTGTTCCTGGTGCAATAAAGCGTTATATAAATAAATTATATAACATATACATATATAATGTAATAATGATAACGTATTGCTAAGAAACGTCCACTGCTGTACATAGGCCTCCCCCTTGGGTGGTCTTGCCCATAGCTGTTACGCTTGCCAGGCAGATTGGCAACCGCAGTTTGACTTTGGTAATTTTTAAAAGGGACACTACTGTCCATTAAATATCTCTTACGATAGCCACAGGAAAGGAAAGAGTGGCTCTATATAAATACTATTATTATTGTCTCAATTGGTTGTTGACCTAAATAAATTAAAAAAAAAAAATCTTATTTAACTATATTTAATAAAATATTGTTTATTAGCTATATCACACAGCTAGGCCGGTGGTCGTATAGTGATGTTTAATAACCTGTAACCTTTCTCAAGAAATTAACTATCAAATACAAAGAGAATTTTGCAAATATGACTGGTAAATCTAGAGATTTAAATACACTCTATATTATATTAGTTTAGATTACATGTATGAAACGGAACGTGGTTTCCGGTTATCTTTAAAAAATATATGAATATGGGCATAGTAACAGAAACAATTTATTTTAATACAACACTTTGAAAGAAACAATAAAGAGTATCTATCTCGCTGTCCACTTTAATTTTCAGCGAATATTAGTGTTGGATTGAGGCCGTGGGCGGAAAATAAAAAAGATATTGAATTTTAAACTTTTTATTTGCCCCGAAACACTTTCACAAAATTAAATCGTAGAACCACTTTCGTCCTCTCAATCGTCGACCAATTACACTTATATCCTGCATCTCTTTCACTCACCACACTTATTCTGATTTCTGTACTTTCACTCAACGTCTAAAACATTCATTCCCACATTATTATTATATAATTATTGCTCTTGTTTCTTATTAATTCAAAATTAAGAGTATAACTTTACCAATTTACGAGTAAGTCTCATTATAACAAATCATTTTTGCAAACATATTTTAATGAGATTTTCCTCCTTTATGAACTGTTGTCCTATTTGTTTGTACTAGGCCCCCACCTGCGATCGAGTTGCATTCTCCTTTTAATTATAAGCCTGAAACAAGAATAAATAATCTTTGTCTGTGTGTATTTGAATAAAAATATCCTGTGATAATCTATGGTCCTTTGTGTACTGAATTTCATTTGAATCCATTTAAGCATGATCGAATAGCAAACATTCAAATAATACAAACATCTTTACAAACTTTCACATCCTGAATCAATAAATCATGTTTGCTCCGTAAATTAAAGAATCCAAGTCACTTGACATAGATTGTCGAGAACTATGTCAAGTGTGTCAGTATTAATTCTTAAATTCCTTTCTTCGCATTGTAAATTTTCATGCATAATACCTATATATTAAAAAAAATATTTACATATAATATACTAGTATATATCAAAAAAATATTTAAATATAACTTTAGGCTTTAATACAAGCTCAGCTTTGTTTGAAACTAGATGTCGCCCTAATATATTAGTGATACCTATTTATTTAATTATATTTCACCTGGGATTTTGGTTAAGTGACCAACATTATGTTGATTACCTGGGATAAAATATATTTGTACGCGTATGACAAATTTCTTAACAAATATTTGAACCGTTAAAATAATAGAAAGAAAGAAGAAAGAAAGAAAGAAAACATTTATTGACAACAACAAAAAGTTACATACATTATGAATTAAAAAAAAAAACTTTACATTTATTATTGCCAACATGGTCACCACTCAGCATGTGCTGCAGCAATTTAATTGCTATAGCACTGATATTCTGTGGTGCCCATACGTGACATTACGAACGACGACAGCAAACATACGCATACATATACATACATACACATACACATACACATACATATACACATACATATATATATATATATACATATATATACATATATATATACACACATACATATATATACATACATACACATACACACACACACATATACATACATACACATACACACACACACACACACATACATACATATACATACATACATACACTTAACTGACAAGATATACCCATATAGATATGTACAACAATAATACAATAACAATACAACAACACTATATTATACAACGAAGCAGCAATGTTATGCAATCACAAGGAGCTACATGCTTTTTGTAGATTTAAATAATAGTTTTTAGCATATTTTTTAAAAGTATAAGTTGTTTTTAAATTTCATATGGGAGGCGGGAGGTCATTCCAGATCTTGGAAGCTGCATATTTGAACCCTCTCTGAAAACTTGCAGTTCTATGTCGTGGTACCTTTAAACGTATAGAAGCTACTCTTAAATTATATATACTATGCTCTTGCGCCCACGATAATTTATCGTAAAGGTATTGAGGTTTACCTGTATTACTACTACTACTTACTACTAACTACTTCAACACTATTAATTAAAACTAAATGTATTTTTTTTTGTACCTGTCTTGCTTTCTCTAATAAACTTACATCAAATTAATAACTAAATTATTATTATTAATTAGTATTAGTTAGTTATATTGTAAATTAAAGACTGTGACCAACAAAAAAAAACCGAATTCAATTGTAACAAAACAAGTTATTTTGATCTAAAACTTAAAATACTGAACCTATTTTGATAAAAATATATCCTTTCATATATAAAAAGTATTTTCCAAATCGGTTTAGAATTGATGAAGTTATAAGGGAACAAACAAAAAATACATACGAATTGATAATCTCCTTCTTTTTGAAGTCGGTTGAAAAAGTAGTAAAATTGTACAATAATTGCTGTTGATATTCTTATAAATAATATAAGTCTATTACTATATATTACTACAGTCTATTCCTTGAAGCGAGTAAGAGTTAGTGCTTCTCGCTTTAAATGTACAAGTACTTAACTACGTATAATTCAGTCGAAGTTAATCGAAGAGAACAAGGAAAATAAACGGGATGCTCCATTATTTTCCAGATCACTGGTAGATTAAATTGGAGACTAATTCAATATCGTCCATGGATACTTTCAAGCCCTTCTGGAGCTCCGTCTGATTTAAGGTACGCACTTACTTATTATTATGAAAAACCAATAATTTTCTTCTTTCAAGTTTTTAGTAATATCAAAGATGTAATTTTTGTAGAACTTAGAATAGCAAACAAGCTGACGGCCCATCTGATGGAAATTGGTAACCGTCACCTATAGATATGAGCAGCTCTATTAACATCATAGAACGTACTGTGAAACCCATGGTACCCTTCATGCGTTGTAATTCCTGAGGACTCGTATATTATGCCAATATTATATAATTTCACTACCATACCATATGCCACCCTTTAAACCGAGACACGACTATGTAAACAACCGCTTGTCACTAGTAACACGAGTGGAGTAAAATATATCTATTTATATTCATATTGTAAATGTAAAGGTTTGAAAATTTGTTAATCATGCTTTAACAAATGAAAGAATTTTAATAATCATCATATATACTAAGTGAAATTTAGATCGTTAGCGTCCTTTGAAGAGCGTGTTCTATCAAAGAATCTAAAAATTTTCACCAAAGAAAGATGGATTGAAAAACTTAAAAAAATTGAGCTGACACAATGTGTTTCGCTCTTAAATTATTAGTTTTAATTTACGAAATTTTTGTCCTATAGTTCCTTCTTCCGTCCTATATATATTCATATATAAATTCTATAGCGCTGGTACATTCTTAGTTTTATCTACAGATAACAATTAAATTCAATAAGTGAGCAACAATCAATAATAATTAACACATCCAACCTTATTCGAATAGTAGTAGGTTTAGTGTTTTATATAAAATATATATAAAAATAAAACAGGTAGATTAGGAAACTCTCCCTTTTTGAGAATGTAAAAAAATTGTCGCATGAAAAGACGAAATTGATGTGAACTGTATAAACATTATTAGATATAAACATTTTGTACATGCGTTCTTTTATTAAATTCCTCCATAATTGAGTATTTACGGTATGTAAGGCAATTACGTAGGAATTGCCAAAAAAATCTTTTTTTAGAAAAGGTTTTTGGAAAATCCTGCGGGATCAGAAACGATTTGCTCCAATGAAGCTGCGACTGCCTGCTACTCGTAGTTATACTACTTATATATTACTTACTCCGCAAAAATAAAGAATTTAGTCATGATAAAATAAGCCAATGATCGTTGAGATGTTTTGTTGATACTTACATTTAAAATATTAGAATTTAGAATGCATATTCGTGTGTTTTGACCTTAGTATAAAAATTATACATTGGTATTGTAAAAGAGAAAAATTATTGCTACATGTATGTTTTTTTTTAATGGATAATAATGAAATGGTAACCCCGCTCGCGTTACAGGCATACACTGGCGGGGCACCAGTGAGGGATGATAGGTGAGAAAGACAGGTCAGTTAGCCCATCGTGATAATTGCACCGGGAATTTAGTATGATAGTCTCCAGGAGAGACCACGTGAAGGTCGACCTGACAAGATATATTGCTAGCAATGGGACTAATAGTTCACATTACTAACAATCCCTTCCCCGCCGTTACTGGTATATTAGAACGATATAGATAGACAGGAAAATATACATACACAATATAAGCTCGAATTAGATGTAGCAGTAGAATGAACAAAATAAATTATGATTATTTTTAAATCGTAATAAAGTGTCAAGTGAATATAGTTTTAAGTCAATATAGTTGGATAACGTTGAGTATTCCGTGCTTGAATATATGATAAATTAGAAAAAAAAGACAAAATTACACATTTTCTATCAAACTAAACATTTACTTATTTAAATGCAATACTATTGAACCATTAGAAAGCAAATAAAGTTCTGAACGTATACGAATTGAAAAGAAAATTGCGACGTAAACATTTGCTATTTTTGCAACTTCAATTCCTTATAAAATCAGAACTGTCATATGCACACATTTACAAAACACGCACACTAGTGTAAATCTTTCTTCGTCTCGTTTAATGGTTGCATTTCCAGTCTATTAGTATGAGATTAAAGTATTCTATAAACATAGTAAAACGTAATCACATGCTAACAGTTCGTATACGAAAAAAAAACGGCATCTTCAATTGCTACAAAATTAATATGGATCCAATACTATCACTTCCAAAAATAATTTTGAATCTTCGATTTAGAATTAGCAACATGACAACAAAAAAATACCTCCTCTTTTCGGAAGTCGCTTAAGAACCATTACTATTCTTAAAATTCTTACTGAAATTGTTGAAATGTTTTGTTTCGCACACATCCAACTGAATTGCTGTTTTGATAACTTTATAACAACGAGAAATAAACATCAAATTGTCTTGGTAAAGAAATAACGTTTTAGTCATGCAACTGCCGGGCGAAAATTTTTATGGTACCATTTCTGAAGTCGTTTAACATTAACGAATTATAACTTTAATTCAGAATTTCGATTCAAGGATAGCCTATTAAATACCTCAATTTAGGAAAGTCCATACACTTATTATCGTAGTTCTATAGGTACATTTTGTTCCACAAAAAATACCCTAGTCTTGATATAATAAAATACATCAATTAATGGCAAGATATTTTATAAATAAATTAGAAACAACTGTAATTTATTGTGATTGCAAATATGCATATAAGGCTACTAGAAACGGTTTATCTGGAGTCAGAAGACTATAGAAAAGAAAAGAAAGAAAGAAATATTTATTATTCACACTTAATTACAAAAATACTTAACTATTAACAAAATATTCTTTTGAACATGACGCTGATTTTTAGTGGCATCAATTTGTTGAAAACAGTACAGTACTTAAACGAAAATATACTAAATTGGATTGGCAATAACAAATGGTATACAAAGTACGTACAAAATTGATAACAAAAACTTTATTTTAAGAGGATCCTGAATAAATGTAATACATATGTGGCTAAATGTGCATATATATACGTCACTTAACAATATAAGTTCGCTTAATACAATTATATTGAAAATAATATTTGATAAAAATTAACAAAGTATACACAATTCGTTGCAGCATAATATAAAGCAACCACGGAATGCAACAGTTCAGGCTTGTGGAATTTGTTCTAATTCAAAATGTGAAGTAGTATCTATGAATATATTTTACTTCACAATACACTACATAGTTTATGGTTTATAAGAGATAGGAATTAATGCTATCATTTAGATAAACTATAATAATTGATTAAAATCAAGAAACATGAAACGTTCAATCGAGAAAATGGTTTCAAACTCTCTGCGTTTTGGAACCCAATGATTTTAAAAACATTACCTCGCTACAATGTGTAGTCGGTAAATGAATCGAATAAAGACACAATCAGTATTGTGTGCATAAACCTTCAGTATAAGGATAAACGATCACCTTAATTCACTTCTCTTATAAACCATAAACTATGGAACACAAAACTAAAAATTTACATTATTTTTGCTCCATAAGAGCAGTCAAATTCAATCTTCACAAAATTTGCACGAGGATAACACCAATCATCAATCAAACACCGAAGTAAACTCTATTGATTGTATAAAGAATTATCAAAATCGGTTAAGAATATGTGAAGTAATCACGTATTATAATCACAATAATGCAAATAAATTGAAAAATCCTAATGAAAATCGCTTAGAAATAGATAATATTGTTATTATATTTTTTAACAAAGCTGACGGCTCGCCTAATGAAAAATGTGATGAAAATTTCTGTTGGTAAAAGCCGGACCATTATAACATTCAGCCTCAAAACATGATCATTAAAAATCCATTAACGTCCCACTGCTGGGCACGGATTTTCCACATAAGAGGAGGAAATTAGCCTACCTAATTAGGTGGCTTGTTGGGGAATTTTATTTCGAGATTTCCTTCTCTCGTATTTCTTAATATAGTGTACTTCGTTTGCATTTACGCATTCTTAAAGAAATGTTTATATTTAGTAATTTAAACGATAATATATTACAAATGATTAAGAAATTTAAGACAAATGTTAAATCGTTAACAATATACCAAAGCACATAGATAAATAGTGTACGTGGATAAATATGTTTTTCCTAACACATGATTGAGATAGAACGAGACGAGAATATTCAGCGTCTTGTTTTTTCTCACGAGTGCGATAACAATTATATTTTGAGATAGATTCATTTGACATTTTTATAGAAAGGCAGGGTCTTCTTGAAACACAATTCTGAAGATTTTACTTCAAAACGTTGTACGTACATACATCTAAAACACCTATTATGTGTCTGTGACATTTAATTACTAACCCTATCATGAAATATTTAAACGAATAAAATAATTATTATTTTGACAGATATCTCTCGTGATTTTAATCTCAATCTCGTATTACGATCAGTTTTTAGATTTTAGAATGATTTTTGTTACTATTAGGCAGACTAAGTAAAATGGGTGTCACGTTATCTAATAATATGTTATTTTCATGGGTATCGGATTGAGACCCCATATGGCTATTATTATTATTATTGTAAACTTTATATATTTTTTACATTTGTACATATCATAACCGAAGTTTGGTAGTTTTAATAACGTCATTTTATATTAATCCTTTCAAAGGATAAGTCCACTTGTGTACGTTTTCAATATTACCTGACATTCATATTAAAAATGAATGTACAAAAGTATATAAATGAATTAATAAGTCACATGTTATTGATAATAAAATATTTAAAATTATTGAATATAATAAATATGTTTACTGTACCAATAGTAAGTAACTATTGTTTTTGTTTTAAAATGATCACCTTTTTAAATACATAGAGCAATTCGGATGATGACTTCCCAGAATACTTTATAGCATAATCTTTATGTCAGTGATTGTACAACCTTATAGTAAATGAAGACATTAAAATGTAAGCCATTGTCTGACTTTATAGTTAGACATGCAGGAATGATTATTTTATCGACCAGTATAATCGATCGATAGTTAAAAAATATTATTGACGGCTTCATAGTTCACGCCTCTGCAAAGTAATCGGCACATTATCGAACCAGATTTTTCTAAGCATCTTAATAAGTACCTGTGGAATGCTTATACTC